CCAACTCGGTGTGTGCATCAATCCACTGCTCTCACCTTCCCATCATGCACCCGCTCCCCTCTGCCCTCCCTTGCTGACCCAGCTTAGTTCCCGTGGTCAGCACCGGGGTTACTGGGCCACGAAACACCCTTTATGCCTCTGCTCTGCTTGCCTGGGGAACCCCAACACAGCAACCATGCTTGAGCAGCTGAAGATGGCTGGCAAAAATTGCACAGATCTCAAAAGGGGCCCCCACCCAGCCTGTCACCCTACTCTACTTCTCAGCGTGCCCTGATTTATGGGGCATACATCCCACCTCTTCCAGCCGCCAGCCTGAGAACTGTTGTTCCCGCCCTCACTGGCCAGTAATGAATTCAGACTTAGGCACGTGACCTCGTTCTGGCCGATGACACGTGAGGAGGAGGCTTCTGGGTGCTTCCTCACTCCTTCGAGTGTAGGAAAAGAGATGGCCTTTCCTTTCCCTCTGGTCTGGATGTGACTGCTTTGGAAGAGCTGTGCCCATCTTGCTCCAGCCATTCCAAGGAGGCTGAACAAAGAGCTGGAAAGAACCCAGGTCCCGGATAACGTAGCTTCATCCTTGAATCAACCTGAGGCTGAACCTCAACTGCCTCTTAGTTACGTAGTGGTAGTGGAATAAATGTCTTCGTTGTTGAGGGCAGTTTCAATCAGGGGTCTAAAGCAGTGGAGAACAGCCTACCAGGCACGGTGGTCCAGTATCTCCCAATTTAAGAGAACATTCTCCCCGGACCCCATGTGCTCCCAGGCTCCGCTACCCCATCTCACCTCATCTTTGGTCCTTTTCATACCAATGTTCTTGAAGAGTTATCTACCCTTGCTTTTACTGATCTCTTTCAAACTCTCCCCGCTGAAACAACTTTTTCAAGGTCATCAACAACCTCCAAGTTGCCCAATCCAATGGCCTCTTCGCAGTCCTGCATATTCAGGCCCTCGTTGTGTTTGTAGTTAACCCTCCCTCGAGAGTCTCTTCTCTTAGCCTCTGGATTTCCTCCAGGCTCACACCTCGTGCCTCTTTAATTCTTTGTCTACGCTCTCCCTAGATCTCTTAGAGTCCCCAGCCTTAAAATAACCTATGTATAATAGTTTAGCAGGCCTTTGTCCCTGGTCCCTAGGAGGTAGCCTCTAAATCCTTGGAATTTCCAGGGTGAAAGGAGTGTCTTTCTTATTCAAGGTAGGCTCTGGTGTTATGCTAATGAGGCAATTCGTGGTGAGTGCCTAGATAGTGGAAGCCAAAAAATGATGACTCAGGATCTGGGCTGCCTATGCCAGTAAGACCGTCCCCACGACTGGAGAGAGGGGACAGGCTGGAGAACGACCTCAACCTCACCTCCAGTGGTTCAGTCAATCAGAAGTATGCAAAGAAACTCCAGTAAAAATTCTAGACACAGAAGCTTCAGTGAGCTTCTCTAATAGGCAATACATACTGTGTATTGTCACACATCACTGTGCTGGGACGGTGACACTCCTGATCCCACAGGGAGCAGACAACATAAGCTTCCATAAGCTTCAATGTTTAGGAGCCTTCCAGAACTGGTCCTGTGGATCTCTCCTTTTGCTAGTTCTGATTTGAATCCTTTTGCTCTAATAAAACTAACTACGAGTATAGATGCCTTCCTGAGTTCTGTGAGTTGTTCTAGTGAACTGAACCCCAGGGGCTAATGGGAACCCCTGAATTTGTACCCAGATGGTCACAAGTGAGTGGGTTGGGGACCCTCAAATTTGCAGCTGGTGTCTGAAGTCAGAGCAGTCTCGTGGAGGAGGGCACTTCACCTGGGAAGTCTGGTCTAATTCCAGGGAGCTGCTGTCAGAAGTCATTGCCACCTACAACCCCAGGTGAATCTAACCCCGAGTTCTCTCTTGAACTTCAGACTCCTGTGTTCATCTGCCTACTTGGATGCCATCTCAGATCTTACAGGCCCAAAGTAGAGCACTTGATTTACACAGTGAACCGGCTCTGTCCCAGGACTCACCATTCCAGGAAACGGAATCTTGGTTCAGGTCCTGATTTCACGGTGTGTGAGTTCGAGCCCTGCTTCGGGTTCTACGCTGACCCCATGGAGCCTGCCTGGGATTCTCTCTGTCCCCCCCACTCCCTCTCCGTCCCTCCCTTTCTCTCGCTCTCAAAAATAAATAAAAATAAATGAACATTAAAAAAAAAAAAAAAAAAAAAAAAAAAAAAAAAAAAAAAAGGAAACCAGATCATGTCACTAACCTGTTTCTTCCCCAGGGAGGCCTTTCCTGACTTAACCCCCCGGCCCCCACCCCCACCTGCCTGCTTCCCCCCCACCCCCGACCCTCCCTGAGTCATCACCTCAGAGCCCGGACCGCCCCGACTTTATCTGGTATGCTCTCGAACTTGCTTGTCCCCCATCACCTTCCCACATAAGGAGCGACCCAGGCTCTTTTTCCCTGCTGTTCCTAAGTACTTGTAATACTGCATAGCACAGAGTAGGCACTGAGGAAATATTTCTCAAATAACAGAAACTGAAAAAGGCGGGGACCAGTGCTTTAACCCAAGGCAGCGAACAACGTGGGAATTTCAGGAGCGGGCCTTCAAATTGCATTTTGTAGGTGTTGGCATCTGCGTAGGGGAGTCTGGCTCTAGGCTCCTGACCCCACTCGCTCCAGAAGCACCTGGTAGCCACGGGACTCCAAAGTCCTCCTCAGACTTCCTGCTTCGATGGAGCCTCACGCACACTCCCTTCCCTTTGACTGAATTAGATTTTTCTTCCTGTCTTACACTAGCTATCATATATAATTGAGGAATCCCTTTTACTACAATGTAGCATCCAATCAGGCCAAAGTCTGACTTTGGGTCAAATAGGACACCAGGTCTTTCTTGCACACCCCGGGGCAGGGGGAAGGAGGCTGGCAGAGACGGGCATCCTAGGGTTCTGTGTTTTACTCTAATTCCACTACCCTCTCCAATCCCAAACCCTCTCCAGAAGACGTGATCCCACGTCTCACCAAAAGTCCATCCTGTTGTCCTTGAGAAAGGACGTGTACTCTCTAAACCTCAGCGATACCACAGGTGAGATACTAATTTCAAGACGAACAAGCGGAAGGCGGGCCCCCCCTTCGGGAGAAAGTCAGGAAGCTCTGATAAGAGGCTCTGGTGACCGGGCCGGCAGGAGCATTTCCCGACACTCCCGTCTCCCAAACGCCGGGCATTGCCTCCCAAATGCCAAGGTTCGAAGGCCTCCCAGAGAGAAAACAGCACGAGGCAAATCGTTCTGTGACTCAGAATATCCAAACCGAGTAGGTAAAATGGTCTGCTCACTTGCAAAGCTTTGCAGTCTCTGTATAGACTCCCCTCGATCATTCCCATGGCCACATAAGGTCTCCAGGAAAAGGCTCCTCCAGGCCCACGCACCCCCAGGCAACTTGGAGAAATCAAGTGGTGGTGCTGAGGGACGAAGGTTTGGGCAGAATTCCTGGCACGGGGTTTGGTGAACTAGCACCTACGTCTTCGAGGCCAGAAACGGCCTGAGCACCGTCAAGAAGGAAGTGGAAAACTGCGGTCACTTCTTCCTGGCCTCAGTCAGTCCCCTGGCTTGCCCGGTCTCACCCCAGCCCAGCAGCAGGTCGGAAGAGGACCACTTTAAATTCTATTTTCAACAAGGGCACACGCGGCTCCTCTCCGGCACCCTGACCAGTCCTCCAGCCCCAGCCAACTCTTCCAGACTGGACTCAACTGGTCTCACGGAGAGCGGGATCCACTTGCCTGGGTTTTAAAGGGCCTTCCCGATCAGAAATAATCTATGTGCTCAGCTCTTCCCTGGATTCTAGGCTCTTGGAGGGTTTCAGGAGTATGGACAGGGAGCATACTGACCAGAAGACACTAAGTCAGCCATCTCGAGGGCAAGGACATAGTGCTAAGTCTGGCAAGGAACGCCAGCCAGACGCTAAGGGTGTTAAATGATCCGCGAACATATGCCTAAGGTCACTGGCCAATAAGTGAAACTTCAAAAAAGACCCAGGAGACCCAAGTCATGTGAGACGTTTGGTCCCTTACCTACTGGGGGAAAAAAAAATCCCCTCTGCCTGTTGGAGCTTTAGTATCTTTACCAGCTACCCCGGGAGGTCAGCTCAGGGCTGGCTTGGGACTACGGCCAGCGTCTTCTAATTACGTGAGCCACCCGGTGCCATCAACTCCTGCTCAGGCGCCAGTGGCTCGGCTCTCTCCCAGCCCCCTCGCCTTTCCCTGCTGTTACGAGCTGAACTACAGCCCCCCCAAAAGATGTGGAAATCCAAACCCCAGGTACTGCAGAAAGTGACCTTATTTGGAAACAGCCTCTTTCCAGACGTAATTAGTTAAGATGAGGTCATACTGGAGTAGCGTGGGCCCTGACGCTAACTTATGTCTTTAAAGGAAGACGGCCAGGAGAGGACACCGACACGCAGGGAGAACACCACGCGAGGGTAAAGGCAGAGGTGGAGCCATGCATCTACAAGCCCAAGGAATGCTAAACGCTGCCACAAACACCAGAAGCTAGGAGGTTTTCAGAAAGGGCATGACCCTGCCGACCCCTTGATTTCAGACTTCTGGCCTCCGGAACGGAAAGACAATACGTTTCTGTTGTTCTAAGCCACCCCGTTTGTGGTGCCTTATTAAGACAGTGCTAGGAGGGGCGCTCAGTGGGTTGAGCGGCCGGCTTCGGCTCAGGTCATGATCTCACAGTTTGTGGGTTCGAGCCCCACGTTGGGCTCTGTGCTGACACTTCAGAGCCTAGAGCCTGCTGTGGATTCTGTCTCCCTGTCTCTGCTCCTCCCCCACTCGTGCTCTGTGTGTGTGTCTCTCTCTCAAAAATAAATAAACATTAAAAAAAAAGAAGAGGACAGCACAAGGACACAAACATGCCCGCCGTCTTCCAAGAGGAAAGGAGACAGTGCTTTGATACAGAGCATCACCCTGTCAGGGGGTAGGCCGAGGCAAGCAACCAGCCCTGTGGACGACATACCCAGGGGCCCCAGGGGACGCGTTACTCACTGGGGCCAGAGTCTAATCCGAGCTCTCCTTCCATGGAGTCACGTGGGCCCCACGGGTATGGCTGCTCCTCCTGTTTGATCCACGACAGAATGTCATGTGCTGAGATCAGAGACTCTGTTCGTGGAAAGAAGGCAGCCTGAGATTCTGTTCATTCCCACTGAGCAGCCCGTCAAGGGTTAGAAAACCCTCACATGCAAGGCCCGCCGCCCCGGCTCACAGGGCACGTGGCAGTGGGGCATCTCTGTCTCATTTCCTGGCCTCCTCACCCTCCCAAGCACCCTCACGGATGGGATCTCGCTTGTGCTCGAGGTATTGAGCTGGCCACGGAGGAGGAGGCTTCGCCCAAAGTCTGTGCAGCTGCAGAACCCAGATGAGAACCTGCATCTTCCAATCTGTCTGCCTGCGGGTCCCCAAGAGGCCAGAGGGAGGTCTGGTGTCTGACGGCCCATGGGACCGGGGTACAAATAATAGGACTTAAGAACCAGCAATGGCAGGGGCACGTGGGTGGCTCAGTTGGTTAAGCGTCTGACTTCAGCTCAGGTCATGATCTCTCGGTTCCCGGGTTTGAGACCCGCATTGGGCTCTCTGCTATCAGCATGGAGCCTGCTTTGGATCCTCTGTTCCCTTCTTTGTGCTCCCTCTCTCTGTCTCTGTCTCTCTCTCTCAAAAATAAATAAACATTAAACAAAAAAAAATTTTTTAAGTTCTAAAGTTGAAACAAGGAATGCTAGCTTTTTAAATTTTTCTAATGTTTATTTTATTTTTGAGAGAGAGGGAGAGAGAGAGAACAAGCAGGGGAGGGGCAAAGAGAAGGAGACACAGAATCCAAAGCAGGCTCTAGGCTCCGAGCTATCAGCACAGAGCCTGATGCGGGGCTTGAACTCACGAACCGTAAGATCGTGACCTGAGCCGAAGTCAGATGCTCAACTGAGCCACCCAGGCGCCCCAGGAATGCTAGCTTTTATGTCTGATCTTGTCTTCCTGGTGTGTGGGGTCAGTTGAGACCCTGGGGTCATCGCTACCAAATATGAGGACACGGGACTTCTCCAGCTCTACAAGCACACGTGAAAACACATACACACATGCGCGCGCGCACACACACACACACACACACACACACGCAGGTCCCAGACAGGTGCAACTTCACTGTTCTGTATGCGTGGACCGTACCCAGAAGTTTCTCAGAAGAGATTTAACTAGCGTCCGCTCATGAAAAATTCCAAAAAACGTAAATTACTTTCATTCTGTCACAGAAATATACACCAGTTCTAAAAGTCTTTCTGGTTATATTTATTGCTCAAAAATTGTCATTGCTGAAATAACTGTCGCGTCAGTTACGTTGACGCAATAAACTGTCAATGTAATGATTCTTTTAGAAAAGCCCTCTGTACTTTACGAATGGTTAAATTCTAAAATCTGTATGAAGTTGCTAACTGAGGGACACGCTGTATTCTATCCCCTGAGCCTTTCACTGGCCTTTAACCAAAAGTGATCAGACTGACTTCCCAGCAGTTACAAAACTCAGAGAGAGTCTCCGTGTCCTTGACATTCATCCTGGTATCTTGCTTACCTGAATTGGGGTCCGTTGGAATATCTCTCTCTGCCAGATCCTGCTGATCCCATACGCACGGGTGCTCCTCCTGTTTAATCCGGGACAAGAGGTCCTGGGCGGAGGCTGGTGAGTCTGTGGGGATACAGCAACAAAGGCCTCAGGGGACACGAGGGGGCCTGCAAGTCTGTGCTCTGATCCTGCAACGATCTCTTTTCCCTAAAATTCAGGCATAATTGAATCACACTAATTAATTAAAGGTTTAAGTCAGCTTGTCCCCATTTAATGGAGCTTTTGTGGCAGATGAGTGGATACTGTGGGGCGAGCATCATTACCGGTGACTTCGAGAGAGAGTCTTTCTGTGCTTCGGGAACTTCAGTCGTTAGAGTAAGAGTCACATTTGAGCCCAAAGCTCCACCGTGGCCAGAGGTATTCCTCGCGAGGGGATTTTCCAGGAAAATGCGGCCTTCCATGAGCCTTTTAGATTCACCATTTTATTGGGATTTTTCTAAGATGTATGCTCTCTCTTCTGCAGTCTGCTCAACCTCATTTACTCTTTCTTGCCTTCTTATCTCTCAAAGCTCTCTTTGAAGATACTAATACTGTGATGCCGTCTGGGAGCATGCCTGATGGAAAGGGAACAGGCTTTCCCCCACTCAGATGATGTGATCCCTTACCTGTGGGCATGAGGCTCTGACTAAGTGGGGGCTGAGGTTTGTGGAACTCTAACCTCTGGATAAGTAATGAGCTATAGTATGTTACGAGATCCTGTGATGGGTAATTTTGTGACAGCTAGGCTATGGAACCCACATAGTTGGCCAGACGTCATTCTAGATATTTCTGTAAATGTATTTTTTTTTTTTTTCTTCAGAGATTGGTATTTAAATCAGGAACCCTTGAGTCAAATGGACTGCCTTCCACAACGTGGGTGAGCCTCATGCCAACAGCTGAAGGCTTTCATAGAAAAAGACTGAGCACCCCCAAAGGAAGAGGGGATCCGGCCAGCAGACTGGACACGGCAGCCTCCACAATCATTGAAGCCAAGTCCTTAAAATCAATCAGTCTGTCTCTCTCTCTCCACACCCGGACACACACCCACACTCACCTTGTGGGTTCTCGGGAATAGTTAAAATAGTTGAAAACTGATACAAAAAAGACAAGAAACAGGACAAGCTAAGCCCGGATGGGCGGCAGATTGCCGGAGCCATGTTCGTGCCCCTTCAGGAAACCCTGTCTCTCTGCCCGCCCGAGGTCCAACTTCTCCATTTCCAGCTCTGGCCTCTGGCCTGGCACACACAATGGACAATGCTGGGGGCCGTCAGACCATGTCGGGCCCTTCCTCTCCCTCCCTGGCTTGGGCAGCTCCTGGACTCACTCACCAGTAATAGACTCCGTGGGGACGGCTCTTTCCTCCAGGCCCCGCTGGCCCCGGACACATAGGGCTTCCTCCCGCTTTACCTGAGAGGACGAATCCTGTGCAGGCACCAGGGGCTCCGCTCCTGGGGAGAGGGAATCATGTCATTTTGGTGTCCTTTCTGAACAACATCACCCGGATGTTCTTGGGGTCAGGAGCACGGCTGACGGCACTTGTGAGGGAAGGACACGGGGGCTTCGGGTTCCTGGTGGGCAACTGCAGGGGACCCTGAGAAGCAGAAGGTCCTGGGAGCAGAGAAACAATCAGTATTCAGGACAAAGGGGTAGGCCTGGCCACAAGATGAGGTGTAATAAGGCCGGGAGAGAGTTCCAGAAACCACCCAGGCTGGGTTCGGTGCTAATCAGGACCAGGTCAGAAGTTTGACCTCCGTGTAGGAGTCACTGATTTTCACTTTTCACCCCAGTCAGAAAGAGGTGGCCAGACACACACACACACACGCCAGGTCCTTCTGATGTTCCATGGCGTGATGTACCAGCCCCGGCAGCGGGCGGCTTGGGTGGAGGGGGACAGATTAGATGAGGGACTGGGTTCAACACTGCCCGCAGCCCAGCAGGCGAGTCACCCAACCTCTCTCTCGGCCTGCTCGTTTCCCCCACAATGTGGGCATAGCGATCACGGCTCTAGCTCCCGCACAGGGATGGATGAGAACTCGGGGAGACTGCTGATGTACTGGACCGAAATGCAAACGCCTGCAGCGCTGGAAGGCAGGGAAGGGGCCGCTCGGATGAACTGTCCAGAGACAGAGACTTGATCAGTGGTGGCCGGTGGCTGGGGGCCGGGGGCTTGGCGGGGGAAGTAGGAGTGACTGCTCATGGGTCCGGGGTCTCCCGTGAGGAAAATGTTCTGGAACTCGACAGTGGTGACGGTCACACAGCTGTGTGAACCACTGAATTACACACTTTATAAGAGTGACTTTAGGGGCGCCTGGGCGGCTCAGTCGGTTGAGCGTCTGACTTCGGCTCAGGTCATGATCTCGCAGTTAGTGAGTTCGAGCCCTGCGTCGGGCTCTGTGCTGCCAGCTCAGAGCCTGGAGCCTCATTTGGATTCTGTGTCTCTGTCTCTCTCTGTCCCTCCCCTGCTCACACTCTGTCTCTCTCTCTCTCTCAAAAATAAATAAACTTAAAAAAAAATTAAAATAAATAAATACATACATAAAAGAGTGACTTTATGGCACATGAAGAGAACAGACTGGCAAGGAGGGGTCACTACCTTCTAAGGGAGCTTCCTTAAAAAGGACAGAGTTCAGGGGCGCCTGGGCGGCTTAGTCGGTTAAGCGTCCAACTTCGGCTCAGGTCACGGTCTCATGGCTGAGTTCGAGTCCCGAGTTGGGCTCTGTGCTATCAGTGTTGAGCCTGCTTCAGATCCTCTGTCCCCACACCTCCTCCCCTACTCATAATGTCAGGAACTAGATCTCCTGGGGACCACACATCCCCTCTTAAGGAAGGCAGTGAGGAAGGCGTGAAGTGTGAATCTGCCTGTGGTGAGGCCCCAGCAAAACCCTGTATCCATGCGGGCTCCCCATCTGCCCCGGGGCTAGGTCCGGCTGCTCCCAGGTCTCCGGCCTCTTCCTGCAGGCGGAGGTCAGGCCTGGGAGGCTGCGAGCCTGCTCCTCTCTTCTCTCTGCCCAGCTCACCTGGGCCTCCACAGCTGCCTGGCTCTGACCCAACAGACAAGCTCGGTGCTCCTTGGGCCCAGAAGCCTCTTCCTGTAAGTGACTGCCATTATTTCGGTGGTGGCAGAACCGGCCCCAAGAACGACTCAAGGGAAGCCTGTCTTGAACTAAAGCAAGGATGGTGAGGCTTCTCTCCTGCCCTGACCTTGGCCCGGGGCTTTTTTTCAGCTGTCATCACCTGTGTCTGGATCCATTAAGATTTCTCGCTCTTCTGGGTCACGCTGCTCCCACACGCAAGGCTCTTCCCTGGGCTCCGCCTGGGATGGCGCATCCGGCTTGGGCACCGCGCCCTCCGCGTCTAGAATGAGTTGGAAGGGAAGGAAGGACACAGCGAAGTTGACCAATGGATCCCGATCAAGGGCGCTGGCAGAAGTCTCCCTCACTCCAGGGGCGCCTGGGTGGCGCAGTCGGTTAAGCGTCCGACTTCAGCCAGGTCACGATCTCACGGTCCGTGAGTTCGAGCCCCGCATCGGGCTCTGGGCTGGTGGCTCAGAGCCTGGAGCCTGTTTCCGATTCTGTGTCTCCCTCTCTCTCTGACCCTCCCCCGTTCATGCTCTGTCTCTCTCTGTCCCAAAAATAAATAAAAACATTGAAAAAAAAATTAAAAAAAAAAAAAAAAAAAAAAAAAAAAAAGAAATCTCCCTCACTCCAGATGCCCTCCCCACCAGAGGGCCCCTCGAGGCGGTGGCCATCACGTATACGAGCTAATCTCTTATGAGGAACCTTGAGAACCAGCGAACGGATTCCCAGGTTCTGGTGTAGAAACAGCTGGACTCTAAAAGCCAGCAGCAGACAGACCGTGGCTCGTCCAAGGCTATTGGGATGAGGCGTGTAGTCAGGTGCCAGTGATGCGGTTTGGCTACATTCCAGAACTAAGCAGCCCCGAGCTGAGTGCTATAGTGGCAGTTCCTGTAACTGGGCTTTCAACCATCGTGTTGTTAGAATCATTCTATCTTTAGGGCATTATAACCACAGAGTTTCTTGCATTTCCCTGAGGGATAAACACGAACACCTTGCCTGGGTGGTGTGAACGTGAGTTGGGAAGCGTTTCACTGCCCTCTGCACACGCTGCCTGCCCCAGAGGAGGGAGGGCGCTCTTACCCAGGGACACCAGGGTTTTGTAGTTCTCCTTGACAAGGTTGTTGTAAAGCTCCTTCTGCCACTCGTCCAAGTTCTTCCACTCATCCTCAGAGAAGTAGACAGCGATGTCGACAAATGTCACCGGAACCTGGGCCGACAAGAGTCACAGTCTGGCACCTGCTTGCTTGTCCCCACAGCCTCCCCTCCAGGGGCCACGGGGACCCTTTCACCCCAGAGCCTGGCCTTCGATCTCCACGGCTCCTTGTCCCCCAGATCCCAGCCCAGTCCACCTCAGTGGGGACAGTCCACTCTACTCCCGATCTTCTTATGCTTCCAAAACAGGATGGTCAACATGCCATTGCCCCACCCCCTTTTTTTAACGCACTTAACCATATCCTTTGTAAGTTCGCTTTCAGGTAAACTGGGTACCTGAAGGCAGAGCTGAAATCCACATGCTGCTTTTGGCACTCCAGGTGTCGGAGGTGTGGAAGGTTCTCAGGGGGGGGGTCCCTGTCCCCAAACCTGTATTTCCAGTCAGGTTAGCTCGAGGTACACACTTACGTTTTTGTCACCAAAACACGTAAATCTAAGGGCGTGTGCTAAAGCTGCAGGACCTTGACCTCGATGGTTCAACGCTAGATCCCAAGCATCTGGAGGCACCTGCTTTGGAGCCAGTAACTGTGTGTTGAATATGTCGAACGGCTGTTGCCAGTACTAGGCAGCTAAGTCCACTGCAGCCTGGCTCACCCATTGCCAGTGCGGCTCCCTAGTGATTCCACCCAGTCTAGTCTGTTCTCCAGGACTCCTATTTCGGTATGACAAGGGTCCTTGTCTCTACTCCCCTCAGACGCTCACCGGCATGGCCCAGCCTCGCACCGAATCTTTCAAAATGGTTTCGCTTCATGACTTTATTATCTGAGCTTCCCCTCCGGGACACACGGCCTTGTCGCCATCGCTCGCACCCTGGCCTCCCACCCTCCATTCTCCCCGGCCCTAACTGGAGCGGGTCAGGCTTCGAACCTGCACACACGGCCAAGGCAAGCCCCTGCGGCACCTCTGGACACATTAGGTAAGGACAGCCCTCGGGGTGCCTGGCCCACTGGCGTCCAGCTCGGTGAGTGGGCAGTGCCTTTACATTAGAAATATCTAGGGGCACCTGGTGGCTCAGTCTTTGGCTCAGGTCATGATCTCACAGCTCGTGAGTTCAAGCCCTGCATCGGGCTCTGTGCTGACAGCTCAGAGCCCAGAGCCTGCTTCGGATTCTGTGTCTCCCTCTCTCTCTGCCCCTTCCCTGCTCATGCTCTATCTCTGTGTCTCTGTCTCAAAAATAAATAAACAGTAAAAAAAATTAAAAAAAAGAAGAGGAAGAAGAAGAAGAAATATCTAGGGGCCCCTGGGTGGCTCAGTCAGTTAAGCATTCGACTCTTGGTTTCAGCTCAGGTCACAATTTCACGGTTCGTGGGATCAACCCTCACATCAGGCTCTGCAGCAACA